CCTAAACTACTTACCGTGACTTTGGACGAGGCAGTCATTAATTTAGCGTAGACAGTGTAAAAACTGCGGCATAAGAAAATCATAGGCCAACTTTCGTCAAGTGCGAAAGGTGCATGCATAATATTCGTAAAATAAATCCACCGTAACGCAACGCAAACTTTCTCAGTTATTAGATCAAGATATTTCCTAAACGAAAAGCATTTTTGCTTATAAACACACTCAACTTAAACCCTTCCAAGATTGAAACTAACATCAGGAGAAAGATTGTCTTAGAGCGAATTATATGTAACGAGTTATCAGAAGTCCCGTGCAAACCACGGTCCAGATAATCGCCCAAGTTTTGTGCAAAAGCCCCGCATCATCACTGAATAATAGAAAAGTGATCATCACCTAGCAAGAATGCTTCTCACGTACACAAATTTGCCTATAAATGTAGATTCATTACCGTATAGCATAAATAAAAGGAGTAAACTTGCCCCAACTGCTTGAAACGCCACAAGTTGTAGTCTTCCATCTTTTAGATAGATTACTAGGAGAGAAAATATGTCTACAGCAGAGTTTTTGAAAAATCAAATTGATCCTTGCCTCACGTGACAAATAGAATTAAAAGCTTTAGATAAATCAAGAGAAATCAAGAGAGCATATAGTTTACCAGTATTAGTATTTTACCTGAGGCTAAGCAACCATGTTGTAGCACAATAACTCCGACGGTAGGCATATATATTCTCCCTTACGGACTGAGATGTTCAACAATCTTTAAGGGAGCCGGAAAAATAGAAATCAGTTTAAAATCGTTAGCACCATTGAATTTGGTATAGGAGTGAAAATGGCCAGTGTTCCAAGAAACTCGTGTACATACACGACGTAAAAACAAAGTTAGATAAATAGGAGAACAAACAAATTAAAAAAAAAAAAGGAGAAAAACAGAAATATGTGAAAATGTGCGGTTAATGAATTTTATACGAATGCCGTTGGTGCCAAGAGATCCGAATTTCATCTTATTCTGCGACTCAATTACTTCAAATTCATCAGCATAACGAAGTAAGAGAGAATCAGTAGAATGCAGAAAGGCTTCAAAATCAATTTCCATCCTACTGTCAGATATATGATCCTCAATAATCATCGCCATTCTACACAGCGTCATTACTTTTCCATGCACATCCCGAATTTCGTAGAACCTTTCATAAGTCAGTCGTATCTAATTGCCCAGCAATTTTTGAAAAATGGCTTTATTTGCAAACAAACAGTAAGCTTTCCAATATTCAGAGTATGCCGTGTCCCTTAAGGATCTCGCAAAAGAGATATACCTCCAATATATGCCATCCATGCAACAACGAGAGCATAAGAAAAGATGTTAGTAAGAAGCGAGGAAAAGGGAAATAAGACTGTTATCGAAATCAGAATGAGACGAAAGTAACCCATTCCAGTCGATATTATCATAACCGCGGTACTCAATAAGTACTCAATAAGTGGGATAGCGTCAAAAATAAAGCGGGAAAATATTAAAGTTTTCTCTGCGCAGTTGGTGAATACAAATTTCTTCAAGTGCGATTAAACTTTCATTAAGCTGTACGTCTTCCCGAAGGAAAAGGGGCTCAAATCGATTAACTCTAGTTAGTCCTTTAAGGTTTTACAATTGAGTGCCTTTGCGGTGTATCCTCTTTGCTTCCAATATTAATTTATGTAAGAATGTTTAGCAATATTCTTTAAAGCATATAAAAATTTGCTGTTCTATCAACTTTCTTATAAGATAATAAAATATTCAGATATCGTTTATAATGAAACGAGATTTAAAAAATGTAGAAGTGAGACTATAACACAAACATAAGTTTCCAAACAATATTTTGTCTGTTATTAGTAGCTTTTTAGCTTTATTCTGCGAGGTTTAATTTCTCTTAACTCATCTAATGGTTTTGCCAGTTGACTCAGCTGACAATGATCATCGTCAGTGATGACATATCATCAGTACAGGATGATATAGGAGCGAGTTTCGGTTCCCACCAACAACAATCAGCAATAATGTCCTGACAAGCTTATCCTCTTTCTTCTTTTTAAAAGTTATAGGCATATATCGTTTTTTCGAAGACCATTCAATGTAGTGCAACAAATTGTCTTTTGTACATAATGGATTAAGTAAAAACCCATTTATTTATAACATATTCCTGATCGTATTTCTATAGGTCGCAATTTTTTTGAATTTTAAAACAAGTAGAAACATTATAGTCGGCCAGAGCTCACCAGCAGCTATCCTAAACCTTTTCGTTTAAAGACTTGTCAAAATAAAGCGTTATATGAGTGGTGGTCGAAAAAGCGATCCGATCCGAATCATTTTCAATTGGCGTTCGTCCTTGGCTCAGTCGATAACGATGTAACAAATTTCACCAAAAAATGTGTCAAAACTTGTGACCTGCGGATAAATGGACACACGGACAGATAGACAGACATGCTTATCAGTTGGTAGAACAAGACATACAAATGCTTCCGGGTGTTGTATACGTCCGCACAAAACTGAATATTATTTATTGTTAAGGGAAGCATCTCGTACTTTCTAAAAATATTGTTTGGATTTTAGATTTTAGGCAAGTGAAAAAAATATTTTTTTTGTTTTGCGTAATGAAATCGACTATAAAAGCGATTGAAATTAAGCATTGAGCAGATTCCTACACGCTTAACTAAACATTATTACCAAGGCATGAGCGATCGATAAGATTTAAGCGCGCGTTCTTTCATAGAAAAGCATTGAAAAACTTGAAATTTGAAATAGTGAGAGTTTTAAAAACTTTTATTTAAATCGAGTTTTTGTCCTACCTTTGTATATCAATTTTGAGCACTTGGCACAAGAATCGATTAGGATGATAGAAGGAAAATATTGTGAAAAAAACAAAAACAATTCGTTTCAGAACGAGAGTTTCAATACGTATTATATTTGATCGCGAGTTAAAGCAAAAATCAGTTCGCTCGGTACATAGTCGCGGTTTTGTACTTTCTAGGTAACTAGAAATTAAGGATAAATAGGGGGACGTTACAAGTCGTAAGGAGGTCTCTTTTCTTTCATTTGATGAATTTTCACAATATAATTGACACTCAGGAGTATGTTATTGTGAAGATTGCTTTGGAATACTCAATTTAATGCAAACAAACTAGAGAGAAGAAAACACGTTGTATTCTCTTTAACATAACTGCAATGTCTGCAGTGCGTACAGTTTGTTTAGGAGACTGGCGAAGAACTTTCAAGATCGTCGCCTTAGTTTCGACGCAGCCCTCTCCGACAACTAGACGAGCAATGATCTTTAAAAAGATATCGTTACTAATAAAGTAATGTTTACACATTACTGAGCTGCCGATAAAATGATTCTGTGCATTGCAAATGTTTAACAAGCCCCCTTAAATGGATATTAAAAAGGATTTCAGAGAATTGGGCAGATATACTTTCTACAAAGTATGCCTTGTTTTATACATAATATGACGAGCCTGAGCTCAGCCTAAGCTCCATTATATTCAATTAATGTAATGATAGAGCAGAGTAAATAGAGTGAAGTAACTTCATAAGCTTTTGCGTTTAGATATGCTTTGTGCAAAGTACTGTCAGGAATAAAAAAGTTGACTCTGATAGTAGCAAAAATATTTATCTTGCAATCGATTATTTATTTATTTACTTATCTTATTTTAGTTCTGTTGGAATTTTTCAATTTTCTGCCAAGTTAGTCATATAATAAGAGAGTTACATGCATATGCAGAAGACTAGTAAATTGCTATCTATATTGAATTATTTTGTTCAAGAGATAAGAGATACGTTATTATAAAAGGGAAACGGAAGAGACTTCAAAGTGGAGGAAAAATTAGAAGTATGTGTGCCTCTCAATCCTTAATAAGGTGCTTAAAGATTAGTAGTGTCGGGATGCAAGTGAACATTAAGAGGACGCAAGCTAGAAAAACTATAATTGATCTAGCGAATCGATGTAGACATTGAAACCGTCTCAACAGGGTAAGCAGAAGAAAATTTAATTATTGAATTAATTATAAGAAATCGGTTAACAACATGCGACAAGCAATTGGAAAGTTGATTAAGCCCAGTTTTCATTTACAAAATGATCGAAATAATTGAACGAGAAAAACGTTTTTAACTGACTAGATGAGAGTCCTGGTTAAATCCATTGAATGCATAAATTATGTGAAATGAACTCTAAGCTAAACGGGTCCTAGCTAAAAGGGAAACATGCGGATCAATTATTCCTTTCTGTTTGCATACTCGCCGGAGTACGAAAAGTAAGAAATATATACGATTGCGCATCGATTACCGTATGATGCAGTTTCTTGAAAATTGCGATCAGAAAATCAAACTTGAAATGCACGCAGAAGATCGCAAAGATTGATGAACAACTTTGAAAAAAAATTTGTTTTGTGAAAATTGTAAAGCAAGACACGAAACGCCGTACTCTTAGGCTATTACATATCACTACTTGATTTTATGAGTAAAGCTGCGTATAGTTGATTCAAAGACAGATATTATAACTGTTTCCGCACAAGCGTATAGTTCTTGCAAGATGAACGCAGGGATTTTTCTATAGACTTGAAAATGTGAAAACTATTTTTACACCGTAAGCGATTTTAGTTGACTACGTTTTCTTTTTGTTACTGTATATGTGCATCGAGTAATTCTTTTCTTTTTTTTTTTTTTTTTTTTTTGCGAATATTTTCACTTAAGACTTTTAATATTTTAATGTAACGTCAACTTAACCAAGTTTTTCATATATACAATACGACATATCATCAGTCGTCATGTTATTTATCGGCTTTGTCAACATTCAGCCTACAAATATGTATTTTTTTTTTTTTGTTTGGAGAGTCTTTTATTTAAAATATTTTTATGTGTTAATTATTATATTCCGGCACTTTTACTTTAACCGCAAGTACTAAAACTTTTAACGCACTTTTTCTTTCGTTATTGTTTTTACATATTTTGAAGATAATTTTTTTTTTTTTTTTTGTTTTGCTCTTAGTTATGTTTTCTAGCGAAAGTTATTAAAGAACGTGTATCAGATAAAGAAAGTAAGCAAATTAAAAAGATGAACAGATTAACATTGCATGTAAGCCTAGCATTATTTATATTATTTGCTACACAAGCTCAAGCGCAAAATGAATCCTTAGCTAGCAGTTTTCTATCGGGTAAGTTGATACTGTCGATATGAATACAAAAATACACTTCTGATTTCTAATGATCGAATATTTGAAAGGTCTTTTGGATACTATAACTAGCACAGCAGACTCTAAAGATTGTCCGGGTATGTGTGTTCATACTTTGGCTACGCTTATATGTTATGAGGTATTAGAAGATGTTCCTTGTCCCTCGGCCAGTATGAAATGTTGTATAGAACATGCGCCAGCTAAAAATATTTCATATACATCGACTACTACAACTACGAGTACTACAACGACGTCTACAACCAGCAAGCGTCCAGCAACTACCACGACTGCTAGACCTAAAATTAGTTCAACTTCTACTCAGAAACCGAAAACAACTCAAAAGAAACCGTCTACTACAATAGCGACTAAGCCTACAACTAGAAAACCTATCGCTTCCAGTACAACAGCCGTAGCCACAAAAAAAGTCGATAAAACGAAAGCAGAAGAAGAAAAAGGCGGTAAGTTTTTCATGAAAAAACACATCGTCAGATTAAGTTAAAAGGCGTATATTTTCAATAGGTTTAAAGAGCTTGAAACTATTCGCTCTTCTTCGTTTTTTCAATAGATACCACCTATCCGAACAATATTGGAGTTTTCCAAAAAACTCTTCACTTTTTTTTTTGCTCATTTATTTGATGGAAATCTTGTCTGATCTCTCTGTTCAAATTCAAGCGGCAAAGCTAAATATGGCAGATATAGTGCAATCAATCAATGCAAGATCTCGTGTTAATATTTTTTATAAAGCTATCTATCATTGCTTACAATACACATTTCTTCAAATAAGATAAAAGAGTTAACAAAATTTTCCACGTGATAGGTGACAAATCAGTGAAGCGTTTTCAATACTTACGAAATTTCTTTTGTTTAATAGAATGTAATGGCGTTTGTGTAGCTGATAGGATAGCTGAGTATTGCGAAGCCTATCTTGTTACTAGCGGTCTTTGCAAAGAAGGCACAAAATGTTGTGTGTCTTTAGATGATTATACGAATGTTAAGCTACCTAAGGATTTATATATACCAGCAAGTAAGTAAAAGATAATTGCTTTTTATTAACCTTATCTTAAAAACTTTCTTTCTTTCCAGAACACATGTCCAATCTGAGTAATCAACAAAACAAAACACGACTTATAACAACTAATAGAGCACCCGTAGCAGGCGGTTCAAAAGTGACGTCTGCTTCAATGCCATCTGCCTCTACTACTGTTATCGCAACCAGTGCTAGTACTACTACAGAGCCGGCACGGACAAAGATCATCAGCAGTAGCTCTAATCAAAATAAACCCAGTAAACATAAGAAAACTCAACCCACTGCTACAACGCCAACAACAACAACAACAACACCAAATCCCCCCGAAGAAGAAGAGGATGACGCTGAGGAGACAGATGATGAAGAAAAAACTGAAAATGGACATGTGTATAAAGAATGCGAAGGAGAGTGCATCAATGGTATTTTGGCCATATTTAGTTGCGACGAGATTGACTCGGACGCCTTCTGTCCAAATCAAGAAGGCTGTTGCATTACCAATTCGCGACCTGAGACTTCAACGTTAGCTACAAAAATAAGTGGATTGAAACCTGCGCACAAAATTGCAGCTAAGCCCTCACCGAAACCTGTTCACAAACCGGTAACACACGCTCCCCCCACAACTGGAGGTAGTGATATTTTCTCTCAAATTTTATCTTTTGCTGAAAGCACATTAAGCGGAGCTACCAATCCACCGTCTCCTCCGCCTACACCGGCCGCGCCCCAAATACCACGGTGCCCTGGATCTTGTTTGCTTAACATTATGGCAGCTTTCTGCAAAAGCCCATCGGTACTGATATCTACGCCGACTACATGTTCGAAAGGGTCCGTATGCTGTGATAATTCCAACAGGCATCCAACAACATCAGTGCCTCCTCCTCCCACTGCTCCTCCATATATAGTTAACACGCCTTTACCCGATCCTAGAGAAGAATGCCCTGGATCATGTATCGTTAGCCTGTTAAGTTTCACTTGTTTTAGTAAGTTTTCAATTTAAATATTAAAGCAATTACAACAAAAAAAAAAAAAAAAACAACACAATTCCAATGCCATATGCATTTTGTAGAAAACGCTGAAATGACCGACCTTTTCAAATGCAAACGTTCCGGACAAACTTGTTGTGCCCCCAAAAGTAAAATCTTGGAGAAACAACAATTCCAAACCCGAAATGATTCTTATATTCATTATCCCTTACCACCACCGCCAGCCCCACCGCTTGGGGTGCAACAGTATCCACCACAATCTGGCTATCCACCGCCACCACCACCTTATATGCCCACACAACCTGCATCAATGCATCACCATTACGCACCACCTCCTCCTATGCCACCTATTCAAATGCCGCAGCAACCAAATTATGAATATTCCTTATACGGGCCGAGTTTGGGTAAGTTAACTAACTCAAGCGTCTGCGTTTCTCAACATATTCTCTTCTTTTTTGTTCTTCAAGTACCCCATAAACCTGGTGGATTGGCGTCACCACCGTTATCCCCACAGCTTATACCCACAACGACGACGACTACGACAACTCCTCCGACAACGACAACCACTACTACGACATCACGTCCACAAGTCTATTCCAAATATATATGCGGCGTTAAGGGAACGTTGCGTAATGGTCGTACATCTCCAGCCTTGTCGCTAATCTCCTATGTACGGGCCAAATACGGCATCCAGAGAGAATCGCGACAGCTAACTGAAAACTTCGGCCGTCCTACTGCCATTCAAAAAACTAGTGAGCGTCTTATACTTGGCTCCGATATTGTCCCCATACAAATACATAATGACAAATTGGGCGACTTAATACAAAACGATGTTATTGCATCTAATCAAGTGAGGTCTTATCGGGAGAGCTATAGTTATCCAGCGACCATAATAGCCCATTCTTATCCAGAAAACTACACCAGAAATAGTAAAAGACGTGCTCGTGTTGTTGGCGGCGAGGATGGCGACAATGGCGAATGGTGTTGGCAAGTTGCTTTAATCAATTCAATGAATCAATATTTATGCGGAGCAGCTTTAATAGGAACACAATGGGTCCTGACCGCTGCTCATTGCGTAACAAAGTGAGTGAAAATATTTTACGGTCATAGACATAGGGTTAAAAAAAATAATGGGTGGGTAGATACAATGAAAGCGGTTTGATTTCTCGATAATAGATAAGCCGTTTATTGTGCGCTATCCGCATATAACTTAGACATCAGAGGTTTATTTAATTTAACGATAAACGCAAAGTTTTGTTGGTTTTTATTCCTTTTCTTTCGCAGCATTGTGCGCTCGGGTGACGCTATTTATGTGAGAGTAGGAGATTATGATTTGACTCGGAAATATGGTAGTCCCGGAGCTCAAACCCTTCGTGTGGCTACCACATATATTCATCATAATCATAATAGCGAGACGCTAGATAATGATATTGCGTTGTTAAAACTTCACGGACAGGCTGAACTTCGAGATGGTGTATGCTTGGTAAGTTTAAATGTTTAATTTATGCTCCCGAACCAATTAACGTATATTAAATATACCTGCATATATCGACACATAGGTATGTCTGCCAGCACGCGGTGTTAGTCATGCCGCTGGCAAACGTTGCACTGTTACAGGTTACGGTTATATGGGAGAAAGTAAGTACACTTTATCTAAATATGTGTGTGTGTGTGTGTGTGCGTGTGTGTGAAAATTAATATATATTTTTAAAATTGACTGACTATTTGCTATTAGCCGGCCCAATACCTCTGCGGATACGTGAAGCCGAAATACCTATTGTCAGCGATACCGAATGCATACGCAAAGTTAATGCCGTAACGGAGAAAATCTTTATATTGCCGGCAAGCAGTTTCTGCGCAGGCGGTGAGGAAGGCAACGATGCCTGTCAGGGCGATGGCGGCGGTCCTCTCGTCTGTGAAGATGATGGTTTCTATGAATTGGCTGGCTTGGTTTCATGGGGATTCGGTTGCGGTCGTGTCGATGTACCAGGTGTTTATGTTAAAGTATCCTCCTTCATCGGCTGGATTAATCAAATAATAAGTGTTAACAATTTATAGTCTAAGTCCGATACTAATTGAATCAATTACGAATTTTTTTCTTACAATAAGAAACGATTCCATAACGTTTATAATGCAATAAATTGAGTGACATAAATCCATATTTAATCGGTGAGCAAAGGGAGAGGAGAATATATCTAATTAAAGGCTTATCTATTCGACTGTTCTTTAACATGTAAATCTAAGAATGCATTCTATATATTTAATATAACTGATGTAATCTACTTTAAATATTTATAAGGTTTGTATGGCAATAACGTTTTCTCATGTACACATGAAAGAATTGAAACACAAAAAATATTACAAAAAACTCTGTACAATGAATACTTTAAGAAAATAGATTAATTTTATAAGCAGAAGAAAGAAATAAAAATTTACAAAAATACGAAATGGCACAGAATGCTTGATGTGATCTTGCAACCACGGCGGATAATGAAATAATCTTTCTTCTCATATTGATAAATAATGTGACTTTTCTTTTTTTATGTAGTAGTACTACTAGTAGTAGTAGTAGTTTGATGAGAAAGAAAAGTCCCGTGTCCCTATCCCTATTAGAGGTTGTTCAGATTGTTATATAGGCATAGGCAAGGTTTCCGCAAGACTCAACTTTATTTAATTTTCTTGTCTACGTATTATAATCGGAAGCACTATCTGAACTGGCGTTGCGTTCTTTTGCGGGCATACGATGGCCTGAACGATCGATATCGTACATTTTAAGTGTGTTCTCCCTCCTGTAAAGACATTGCCAAATTTTACAGCTTCAACGGCAGACGAATATGATCAAATCAGATCAGAGCTTTACAATAATTATGCGATATGAGGTTTCCGAATTTACCGAAAATGTATATAAAAACGATTATAATTCCATTTACCTCAATCTGTTCGTATTTAATTTCCTTTTTAACGCTACCGCTGGCGTTGAAGGCTTTTCATTAGATTTCTCGCATGAGCCTCGGTGACGGAAAAGGAGAAAAATGGGGCGCCATTCAAAAGATGCATGTTTAGTACAGATATCCGATTATTTTTTTTTGCGATTAAAACCATATGCCGGCGAAAAAATAATTATACGGATCGGCAAACCGAGATTGACAAGTTCGACTTTGAAAATCCCACTGATGAAAGACACATAAAAATGAAAAAATTAAAACTGAAATCAGGCAGTCAAGTATCTCATATATATAATATATTTAGAAGTCGAAATTTACCCATATATTAATATACCCTAGCATTTGGAACTACCTAAACCTATTCCAATTATTGGACGAAAAAAGTCAAAAAAAAAATCTATGTATTCTCGCTCACCTTGAATAGCATAATCAATCTAAATATATCGTTCTATCTATTCATCTACTACAAAATCATATCTACGGCTTGTCAAAAATCCAGTGTAGAAGCAAAAATTTTGTCTTCAATGTGTTCTTACTGTTAGTTAAAATACAAGTCGTTACTGGCTTTTCTAAGGGATGGTTTAGGATACTCGTTAAGCTGCGATTTCTCCATGTGAACGCAATATCATTAAACTCTGGTTAGCATTATAAATTATCTCATTATATTACTATACATCACATCACTTTTAGAAAACTTTGAATAGGTTGACTCGCACTGAAAAAACGACAGATGGGGCAAAAATTACGTTTTCGGTGCCAAAAACTGAACCTAATCGATCGAATACAGTATCGTAAATGTAAAGAACAATAACGCGGGTCAGGGTGAACCATTGACACCTGAAACCGAATATTCTTATCAGCCCCTTAGCTGTTCCAACCGAACTACCGTTAAAGAAGGCTATATAGTGGCTTTAGTATGCAAAAACGCTTTATCGGTTGATTTTACTCTATGACAGCGCGTAGTAGCACACCAATAAAAGGTGCTATCCCTTAGTCTTATCGATTATTGCTTGTTTGTTTAAGCAACGTTCGCAATCTTATGATACTTTCGCGAATAGTCGCAAAATAGCAGATATACTGGAAGACAGAAACGTCTACTAAGCATTGATTTTCTTATAAAAAAGAAAAAAAAATTCTCTATATCTAGTATTATTGTCAAGTGGAGTCCGCGCAATTAAAAAATGTATTAATCTTCTTCTCCTTGATAAATTATACTTTAAAAGTTCATTGTAGATTTTGAGTTACAACTGTGAGTTGAACTTACGTTTTCTTAATAAATTCTCTTTGCTGAGTTCAAAAATCAATTCTCAAAGACCAAGGCTAAGTCCGCCAAACCAAACCAAAATAAGTAAGCACACATTGTCTAACACAATTCTTATTTTTATTTTAGAACACAAAAATTATATATTCTTCCTAAAGCTAAAGAGAAAATTGCAGAGGGAAATTTACAATACCATCATCAAGACTACTCTTCCATTAACCCTCAATTAACTCCACCTTTATGTCGAACAAATGTTGAGAAAACCAAGATCCAAACATTTTCGCGAGTTCGCCTTGGTCATACAATTGCAACTCACCAACGGATCTTGAAGAAGCCTCCCTCCCCAATCTGCAGTTGTGGACAAACTCTCACTATAAAGCACATTCTCTGCGACTGTCTTAACTTTTCCTTGGCTAGAAGTATTGCATTTGGAACGATTAACTCTTTGGACATTCTCAAATCAGCTTCAGAACAGAATATCAATTCAATATATCACTTTATTGATACTACTAAGCTCATTATCTAGTGTACATTTATTTAAATTAAAGCCGATAACCTGTGTTGCTAGTGCTCAATGTCTTTTTTTTTTAGTCTAAAAATTTATTTCATTAGTCTAAAATTTTAATAATACTAATAATAATAATAATAATATATCTTCTTCCTATATAAACACACATTTGTCTTCCTATATAAACGCAATCTAATGTAGTACAAGTTTAATCCTTACATAAAGCTGGATCCAAAAATAGACGTAAAAGGTCCAAATTCTGTAGAGTTCATTTTTGTATGAAATTACTATTATGTGTCAATATTCATCAATATATATTAAAATTTAGACTTTTTCTGCTCCAAAAAGAATCCATTTTCGTGAAAATCCTTTTTAGGATAGGATCCAAAAAATAAGCCGTGATGGTCCAAATTTGGTACAGTTAATATCTTATGTTAAATTACTATTATGATAAAATTTTCATCATGAAGCTTTGAAAATTATACCTTTCGTATGAACTGCAGTTTTCATTATATGACAAGGGGTTCAAAAATTGCCCCAACCGATCCAAAGTTTTCATACAAATTTAGAATGTTGAAATACTACTAGTTAGCCACCTTGAAAATTACAATTTTTTCCCTATAATGACTTTTCAGAATAGGGCCTTATGGGGAGCAGTCGGCAAAGTGGACCGAACCCGACCATTTTGAATAGCGTTCGTCCTTGGGCCAAATCACGTCACTGCACCAAATTTTATCAAAATATCTGAAAAATTTGCGACCTGTAGGTTGTGCACAAAAAAATAAGACGGACAGACAGGCTTAGATCAGTTCAAATTATGATTCTGAATCAATCGGTATAGTAAAGGATGGGTTTATAGACGGATATAATAGAGCCAATATAACAATGGTAGGATAGGCACCAAAGAGCATATTAAAGCATATTCTTGGATTGATCTCATAAGACTAGTGAATAGTGTCATGGCTGCGTGCGTAATATTCGCGATCATTATTTGAAAAGCTCAAGAATTATTTCAAGATCTTCGCCTTATTCACTACGCGCACAATGTGTAGATTAACGTACTACCGGCAATCAAAGATGATATCAAGATCAGAAAAAGAGGATACATTGCCCAAGTGGACATGATATAGTATGTGCGTAGGGGTGTACCTCTGCTGAATGTTATTACTTTGCATTTGTTCCGATTAAGTGACACAATGTAAAAGTCACACTAGTCACTATGTACATTTAAAGTATATTTTACGGAGCGGTAATGCTTAGACGTGTTAAACGATATCGTCCGCATACATGAGAACATTTGAATGTGGTATGGTTGATGGTATGCCATTAAGATATAAAGCAAAAAGAAGACGGCCCAGGCAGCTCCATTAAGATATTCCCGACCAGACGATAACATAATAAATACGAAACAATCCAGTGCAGAAAGTAAGGAGAGAGGTCCCTCAAATCAAGTTTCAGAATAAGCAGATCGTGGTTTAGTCAATCGAACGCTCTACTAACATCGCATCGGTTTGAAAATTAGTGATTGGAAAAAGTTTCTCGATCGACAGCATCTGCGTAGCGACGAAATGCGCAGATTAACGAGGAAAGACAGCTCGTTTAACGTAAATAAGTTTAATTTAAAAAATCATCGTGACAGAGGTGAAAATATCAAGTGTTGGGAAAGCAATAACGCTTTCAAATTTTTAAACAAGTTTTAAGTGGGTTTACCTCAATAGAATGCTTTAAGATAAAGGATACCGTTCACCCGTCCATCTTTAATGAAACGAATTCTTTGTAAAAATTACTTTTTATCGTACAAACGCATACACATGCTCTCACATACCTTAGACGTAACATCTGCGTATAATTTGCATTTAGACGAAATTATTAGAAAAACGTTATAATCGTAAGAAATGAAAAAAAAAAAAAAAAAAAAACACGAAATATTTCAAATCATTTATTTTTGTTTTTAAACAAAAGGACATTAGATATGATTGCCGAGAGCAAGGATGGAATCCAGCATACATCCATAAAAAAGGAGAAATTCTTTGGTTTAATGATTTAGAAAAAAAAAGGAATACTTTTAATTTTGTTATATTCTTACACGAGACCTATACAACTGTAATTGATATTCTTATGCAAATTACAATGGACAAGAAAAGCAGAAAACAAGAAATATATACAAAAACAAAAAAGAAATACATTAAAAAGACAAAAGACAAGAAAACGTTACACAAGGATCAGAAAAGAAAAGCAAAAAAAGCTTCATTTTACCCTTAAAGGCGGAGCTGAGAAAATTGTCTACGAGAAAAACGATCATTAAGGGGAAAAAATGACTCAAACCTCGACTACCTACGGATGCTTAGAAACAGCCTCCGCATATAACCCAATTTCCATTTATCTATTTATACATTACGAATTCTAACAAGATTCCGAAGATATCATATACTTAGAAAGCACACATGCATACATTTACAAATGAATTTACAGTAGATACGAGTGTATGTAAATACGTGTATATATATATATATATATAAGATGGTATATAAACGCATAATGTTCACCCTTTCAAGGTACGCTTCCTGCTGTTCTGATTTTTTAACCCTTTTCTTAGCTTAAGTAAGTAAGTAAGTAAGTAAGTATACGCAGTATATATGGGAAGAGAGCTCTTGAATGATACACGGAAAGAGAGTAATATTAAGATTTCACGTTCATGTACGCTTCCCTACAAGAATAAGAAGATCAGAAATTAAATAACGAAAAAAGGAAAACAAAAAAAAAAAAAAAACAAAATCAACAAAAAAAAAAAGAAAAAAAGAAGATCTACCAGATTTGTTGTTTTTGCTGAGTGCGTAAATTTTTTGAAAAGTTTCATAGCGTTATGTGCGCGTTGCGCAAGGGTTACGGTTGTCCAGTCGCAACTACGCTAAACAGAACTTTGTCTGGTCTTGACTAGAGCAGATCGTATTATCAATTACGCTTAGCGTTCGTAGCAAGTCAGCTAGCGAAAGCGCAAGAAAGAAAGTTTGTTTGTTGTTGTTAACAAAAAAAAAAAAAAAAAAAAAAAAAAAACAGAAGTGTTTTCGTTCTAAATAAGCGAAAGTTCGCGGTTTCTGAATAAAACTTAAAACAAAATTCTTTTCGAAACATTTGTTTTTATTTTTTTTTTTGTTTTTTTTTGTTTTTTTTTTTTTTCTTTGTTTCTCTGTTTTTAGTTTAACATTTACAGAAAAGTAGTTGATGTAGTTCTCTTTGCATGCGATCTCGTTTAAATTTGAATTTTCTTTGCACGTAAATCTTTATGTTTTATGTGTGTGTATGCGTGTCTGTGTCTGTATATGTGTATGTGTATGTGTTTAAATATGTATATATGGGTGTGTATGCGTTAAGTTTTTAAGTATTTATGTATATGTGTGTGCGCGCGTAGGTGTTTGCGTATGTAACGTCGAAGATTATTGATAATTGTTACAAAAATTAAATTAAGGACAAAATACAAAGAGAGCAACATGGATTCTTCGACCGGAAATTCTTTAAGCACAACAAACACAACATCTGCAACAACATGCTTAAGTACTAATACAACGACAACAAATAATATAACAAACGTTTCCGCGTCGATTACGAGCAGCATTAGCAGTACCAGCAATTTACCGGCTAGCGGAAGTTTATCATCTTTAACAACAGCAGCTGTCTGCGCTACATCATCATCATCGTCCAGCCTACCGTTGCCCACACCGCTTTTGCAAGTCTTACCGCTGGATACTGGGAAACAAGATGATAGCAATAATTTATCATTGGCCAGCGGCATATCTGAGGGTCAACGTTCATTATCCGCTGCACCTTCAGCTTCTTCAAGTCCAATACTAAGCCCGCCGGGTAAAATTTTCGGACGTAATGCCAACGGAACAAGTAAGCATAACTCTAATTTCACATTATTGCGACTTTTTCAAATATTTCTTATTAGTAAAATATCGAATTTAAAAACTTATATATGTAAAGCGTCGGATAATTATAGGAAACGAAAATGAGTTACAATATATTTTAAGCTTTAGGTAAGAATTCCGTGCATTTACAATGCATTGGCAAATCTTGATAAATTCACAATTCACAATCATTTTGACGATAAATGAAATAATGCTACGATCTGACGACCGATTTTCATATCAATCCTTATTCTAAGCTTTGCTTAATTGTCTTGGTAATCATTTTTTTACAAGAACTCGATTAATAAATTTCCTCAGCATTCAATTAACATCATTTGAACGATATTCGTTTAAAGTTAATCTGTTGCTTGAAATAAATCAATAAATCCATTTCTCAAAGTCACCTTTGACTGGCGCTAACATTTTACAAACAGCGTTTTATATATTCTTCGTAATTAGAGAGACGATCTTTGGTTCATTTATTCTTTGCTTAATTTTCTAAATATCTGCGATGATGAAGATTAATGTATTGATTAAGAACTTTAATTATTACTATTCCAAGGTCTCCTCCCTGATTAAAAATAAATATTTTTTCTAAAGCTAATCGTCTTAATCGCTTAATAATTGAGTCCGTTTTCATAATGTTTGTTCAAAGTTGATCCATCCGTATACGTTCAAAAGCTAATCTAATTAAAATGGTTATCCATGGCTGAAAGCATTTGTTATAATAATATTAAAACGTAAAGTATGTCCCTGAGCTAAAATTTTATTTCACTCAAAAGAAGTCAATTAAGTATTACGTTGCGGCATACGATAGATCCAAGTCTGTCTGTCTTGTGCTTCTAAGATTTTCTACATCATCAGTAGTCGCTTGAGACACAATCCTGATATTCACGATTATCTTTGATTTCCTTGAAGCTGAAAGGAGACATGATTTAACCTGTTCCCACGTTCTCAGGTAATATGTGCATTATGCGTTCATCGAAGTTTATCTGTGGCATTATTTTATTGAAATAACATTGATTTTTTGGATATACTAAATTTAAAATCATCCAAGAATATTGAATTTAAAATTAAATTTTATTTTAGAGAGATATAAACACATGCTTTTTTAACTGTGAAAAAAAAAAAAAAAAATGTTTCGAAAATGTAGGGAATTTCGTGTAATTAAAGAGTCATGTAGGATTATGTACATATGAATAATTGAATAGCGGTATACTCAATGATCATAAATTCCTAAATGATAACATTATGGCAGTGAATACGAATTTTAACATACTTCTGTTCAAGCATTTGTACATCATACCACTATAAAGAATAAATTTACGAATAGAAAACCACTCTCAACATTTGAAATTTTGAATGAAGATTATGATTTATATTAATTTATTATATAATTGTATTGGTACCGGGATCGAAAGGAATGCAAAAGAAATGCTTTGCAAACATTTGATTACTTAAGTAGTATACCAACTAACATATATAATATATATAGCATGTATAGTTAGTTAGTTAACATTTTGTACAAAATTTAGTTGAAATTTTTTTCAAAATTAATTTCGTTCAAGAATTTTCTCCTTAATGCGAGGGAGTAGACAACTTTTATCATTCCGTACACTAAAATACCCATTGCGTTCGATTTAGTCATGTCTTGCCGGCGGTACTTTTGTACGTTCGCCTGAGGAAGAGTTGGGCATGCGTAGCTTATGCTTTTTATGCATATTGTTAAGCTTTTAGCCATTGAGCACATGGAGCACACACCACAGCTACTGTAGATATAGATCAAATGGGGTCATTAGACCACATTGAAATTTAAGCCCATGCACACCGAAGACTCGGCAGTCGCGTTTCTTATCTACTCAGTACACTCAGTACGACAGTTATATTAATGCCGTCAATAGGCATTAAAATGCCAAGCAAAAGCTTAAATGTTAAAAAAAATTAAATAGGAATTGAAACGAATCTATTAAGACTTATTGTTAGTTTGTATGTACCAATACATTCCAAGATAGAGCGAGATCTATTAACTTGATATAACGATCGTACATTGTATCGTAAATATTGTTTATCGTAAAAATTTGCAATCATGTTGATTGGCCGACTTTGGAAACTAAGACCCCTGTCCGTCTGGTTTGTGTAATTGTTTGGAAAATTTCATTGGGAAATCTTGGGAAAGTTCGAAGTTTAGGTCTACACTTTTAAAGAAAATTATAATTTTTTTTTTTTTTTTTTTTTTTTATGTATATATATAATAACTACGAGTGAGCCTTGCAACGAATTATAAAAGAGTTCACCATTTTTCTATCCCCCACCGAGATTATGGCTCAACCCTACTATTATTTCTATTGTGACGCATTGAATTAAAGAGGTAGGGAAATCTATTTATTTCTATTTAGATTTTGCTTTTGTTTTGATTTATCAATTATCTCCTTTCCGTAGGTTCGCATAGAGACCGCATGTCGGTATGAAGAAGTTATGAGTAAACCTTTTAATAAATATTTGACTTATATATGAATTCGGGAATTTTCATGACATAGTGATCTCTCTAACACAATTTGCGGGATTTTGCCTTTAATCACACGGGAGAATGCTAATCTCTATATTCTGGTTGTAAAACTTAGAAATTCGCTTCAAAGGCTATGCTCAATCGGCTGCAATGTCATTAATGATCTGTCTGTATACTTTCGTAGTCTGAAAAATTACCGTAAAAATTCCGAACACTAATATTTCAACGCCATAAATGGCCTTGAATGCATTTGCAAAAACAAAAAAAAAAATTAGAAAAACTGATCAAATTAATCCGAATTATCGAGAAATTTCGCTCGATCAGAAATCTTTATAATAATTAGTTAATATTAAACGAGTAAACGAGGGTTAATCAGGAACCTCTAATAATAATTTCCCAACCTAATTCACTTTGTTCTTCATATAGATTCATGTATTCGATGACATGATCGAGGCTATTTTGCTTGGCTGCGAAAAACTTTCTGTTTATGTCGAGGAGACCATAAAGCATACAAGCATTTACCAAAAGAAGAGATCGAAACATGTTCATACGAACTTAAATGATAAACGGAGAAGCGATACGAGAATAACAAAGCCCAAGCCCACTTTTCAAAGCTACATCAACTGCCCATTTCATGAAAAGTTTTCATTCAAAATTGAAAGAAATCGCTTTGGAAATTTATAAAAAAAAATTATATTTACTTAAGGTTAAAAATTTGATGTCCACCAAGCTCAAGCCAATAAATGAAATTTTCTTTAAATATTTCGCTATATCGTAAGCACATGCCTATGGTACTAAATTTAAATTCGATACTTCTATTGTGACACATAAGTTTGGGGGTTGTTGGCCGTAAATCACGTCCATTTTTAAGTTTGATCTTTAGTTTTCAATTACAAGTACATACGATAGAGTTTAACTTTTTATCTTGATTCTTATGACTATGAGCGTGTAAATAATACGCTAGGGGACGGACGGATGAGTGTATACAAATAGATTTGTAAATCGCCTAAAAATCTACGAATGTATGAACGACGTAGCGAATGAGAAGATAAATATTGTATACCTTCATTCTACGGTGGTGGGCATAAAGACGGCAAAACATTTAAAAGAGCCACCGCACTAATGTACGTGAAAAATTTAGAGGAAAAAAGAAAAAAAATAAATAATAATAAAAATTAACGATAACAATAAACGCAAAAAAAAAAAAAAAAAAAAAAATTTTTCTTTATTAAAAAAAAAAAAAATAAAAAAAAAACATTGTTTTTTTTTTTTTTTTTTTTTTAATAACAGTTAGCTTTTTTTTTTTTTTTTTTTTTTTTTTTATTAACCTAATTTTGCTAACACAAAGCAAGCAAAAAAAAAAGAAATATGGCGTGTTTTTCTATATTTCAATACTTTTCGTTATTATCATTTAGTGACATTTGAAAAAATGCTGGCTGCTGTTCATACGAGTAAATGGAACCGGCCAGATTCCTTTATGTACGCAAAGTAACGGATTTTTACACCCTTATTGCGCAACAATCATAATTTCATAATACATTGTACTACAACGCTCGATGGCATGACACAATCATGCATACAAACATATATATACATATATATATATATATATATATATATATACATATACATACATTTACAATGATCTATTATTTATACAACGACCAATAAACATTTACTTAATAGAAACCAAAAAAAAGCACGCCTTGTCGGTTTAGGGAAATTACTCAATTTTTTTTTTTTCTTTTCCAACCTATTGCAAGAATCGAAGTGCTAGAAAAAAATTACACACCCAGGATATTCAAAATGAAAAAAAAAAACTACCCCTAATGCGTAATTTTTGTATACATCTTTACATCCATGTGTAACAGGGTTGTTAGCTTCAATTGTTGTTGCTATATGCAAGTCATATACACAAAATAAAAAAAAAAAAAAGGGCAAAAAAAAATCTGATTGGTACAATTCTCTTTGCCATCTGCATATTTTATTTAGCTATGCAATGCAATACAAATAACGAGAACTGTTCATAGAAGAAATGAATATATATATATAAAGTAAATGAACACATGAGCACATAAGGACATAAGCACATAAGCACATATGTCATTTCATTACGTATTCAAGAAGGGGTACAGTTGTTGCAAATTCAAAAATCATTACATTAACTTCTCTCAAAGCTTTATGAGATTCAATTACGAAGGGTGACATCAATTGTTATGAAACTTGAAATACGTAAGCCATTATTTACACTATTATTTTATGTATGTAATGCATTCGTCGATATAGTTAAAGCGTCTCTGGAGAATTTGTATTTGTTGTTGTATAACAAGCTTAAACTTCGAATCATGAAATAAGATAAAGTACTAGATGATCCTCCTAGCCAAGCTCTGCGAATTAATGCCGGGTCATCAAAAATATACGTGAATTGCTCACTGCGATGGGGTTGACTGCTAACTTGTAAAGATTCGAATCAATTGCGG